AAGAATTTGCCACAGTTTGTTGTGATCCACACAATCAAAGGCTTTTGCATAGTCAATGATCTACAACTTTAGATTGTCTAAAGTTATTAGAAAGTCTAGCAGTACGTTGCCTTTCCTGTAAGTCAGCCCTCAGCCGATGCCTGCATCTTCGCACAGGTGATTCTGGAGACCTGAGGGTTTGAGTAGATTCAGCTGGATGCTGGCTGAAAGCTGGGGATAGGCTGCGAGGCTGAAGTGCTTCTGTTGCCACTTCTTCCTCAGCCTCCTGAGGGTCCAACAGGGACAGCTCATCTGCTGACTCCTCACTGGAGTCCTGAGGAAGAGACTGACCCAGGAACTTTGAGGAACTTAAAAAGGCTTTGTCTACTGCCCCTGTTTTGAGCCTGCCAGATTTAGAACGACCCTTCCATCTACTTGTCAACGTGGAGGATGGTGCAGCACAGTGGGTATTGGCTCAAAACTGGGCAGGGAGAAAGAAACCTGTGGCATTTTTGTCTAAAATTATGGACCCTGTGACCAGGGGCTGGCCAGTATGTGTTCAAGCTGTGGCTGCCACTGCTCTGCTGGTCCAGGAAAGTAAAAAGTTAACCTTTGGGGGGGCCTTGGTAGTAAGCACCCCTCATCAAGTAAGAACGATTTTAAATCAAAGGGCAGGCAGATGGCTCACCGATTCCCACATTTTGAAATATGAAGCTGTCTTAATAGAATAGCCTGATTTAGTATTAACCATAGATCACAACATAAACCCAGCTGAATTTCTGAGTCATGGCTGGGATGGGGCTGAACCACCTGAGCACAACTGCCTGGAATTAATAGATCTCCAAATCAAAATCTGACCTGATTTAAAGGATACACCCATGGATAAAGCAAAGAATATTTTCATAGATGGGTCTTCTAGAGAGGTGGAAGGAAAAAGGTTGAACTGGGATGCTGTAATAGATGGAGACACGAATGTGCTGCTGGAGGCAGGGAGGTTGCCTTTAGACTGGTCTGCCCAGACGTGCAAACTGTATGCTCTAAGACAAACCTTGAGACTGTTACAAAATAGGTCTGGAAATATCCACACCAATTCAAAGTACGCGTATGGGATTTTACACACATTTGGGAAGATCTGGTTTGAAAGAGGGTTGATAAATAGCAAGGGAAAGAAACTGATGCATGAAGAATTAGTTAAGGAAGCTCTGGAGGGTGCCCAGTTGCCTCGTGAGCTGGCCATTTTACACGTAGGAGACCACCAGAGGAATAACAGTAAGGAAGCCAGAGGGAATGCTTTGGCTGATGAGGAAGCAAAAGGGGCAGCTGAAGGAGAACACGCTGAGGTAGTTAGATTATTGGTATCCACTCTAGAGAAGGAACTGAATCCAGTTTTCACTGAAAAAGAAAAGGCTGATTTGCCAAAGCTGGGAGCAGTTGAAGTTAATGGCAAGTGGATCTTGCCAGATGGAAGACAAATGCTAAATTCAGCCCTAACCAGTACTGAACATCTTATACCAAGGTAGCCATTGGGGAACTCAAGCCCTGGCTGATGGATTCTTGAACCAGTATGGATGTATAGGATTGTATACCATAGCCAAGCAAGTATGAGATAGGTGCTTAATCTGCAAGAAAGTTAATAAGCAAGTGTTAAGAAAAAGAGAACAAGGGGGGTGACCATTAGCTCTCCGCCCGTTTCAAAGTATTCAAGTGGACTACATTGAGCTCCCTCTAGTGGGGAAAGTAAAATACTTGTTAGTAATTATAGATCATTTGACAGGATGGGTAGAAGCCTTCCCATGTGTTAAAGCAAATGCAAACACATACTTGTAAAATTCTTTTAGAAAACATCCTTCCAAGGTATGAAATTGTGGAAAACATAGATAGCGATTCCGGGACCCACTTCACTGCTAAGATAGTCCAAAGGCTAATGAAGGCCTTAGAAATTAATTGGGATTACCACACCCCTTGGCACCCAGCCAGTGTGGGAAAAGTAGAACGGGCCAATGCCACAATTAAACAGGTTTTGTCTAAAAGTTACAAACTAAGTTGCCATGGACTAAGTGCCTACCATTAGCCCTCCTAAGGATTCGGACCAAACCAAGGAAAGACATGAGGATCTTTCCGAGAGCACAGAACACAGAATCAGGTCTCAAAGGTGGCCATGAACAAGAATTCCCAAAGAGCGCTTTCTATGGAGAAGATGGTGCTGTCGTTCCTTAAAAGGCAGGAAAAGAGGCCGGCCCCCTAGAACTCTTAGAAAGTGTAATTAGCCGGAGTTCCAAGAGGGGGCGCTTTGAGATCCGGCACCGCTGAGCTGGTTTCCTCCAATCAGGCGTCCTGTCTTGGCCTGTCTGACACTGCCTGATCGGTGTGGAACTAAGGTATTCGCCTCAGCGCTGCTGGATTGAAGTCTTTCGTTATTTGATGAAGGTTTTGGCTAAGTTCAAGGAATCTTAGCTCTTCCTGCCGGATCTACTGCTACTTGATTAAGGAGAACTTTTCAGCTAGGTTCAAGGAATTTTTTACTCTTCCTGCCACGTTTTAATCTTTTGGGTGAGCCTATTCTAACTGAAATTTTCACCTCTTACCTTGATGTGGAAAGATTGAATGGCAGGGTGAGACAAGTGGGAAGGTTTGATTTCCTGCATGCAGGGGAAGAGTTTCATTTCCTTCTCCTATAGGAAATATGAGAAGGAAGCTTAAGGCCTTTGGAGAATTTAAGGCCACGGGAATATCTTTAGATCATGAATAAACAGAGAAAAGGGAAGTACGGATTTTGCTGTAGCCAAAAGAGCTGAAGACTCCACTGGTGTGAAGAGATTCCTCTGCTTTTGGAGCTGACAATGCAAGAAAAAAAGAGATTTAGCTACAGTGAACCAAACAAAGAATTTAAATGGAGGGAAAATAGTGTTTAAAAAGCAATTTTAAAAGAATGGAGTTCACGTCTCTGTTCTTTTCAGCCCATTTCTTTATTCTCCAGCGTGACCCAGAACCCTCAGTGGGCAGTATTTGAATAAACACCTTCAAACCAGCATCAGCCTCTGAAACCCTGAAGGGTGCCCCCCACCCGAATCCTTCCAACATTTTTCATGTTACTAATTTTTAAATAGAAAAGTAAATTAGTAAATAGAAAGAGAATTTAATACATGCCTGGAAAGTAAGCGCACCATTGATATTTAATTAATTTTATTTCAATCAAATTTAGACTTTTTCTTAGCCCTCCTCACACCACAGAAAGGCAAATGTGGCCCTAATGCTTGAAAAGTCTTTTGCACATGCATTTCAGGGGCTTCTTGTCATTCTGGCTCCTTTTGTGAGAGAGGAATTCTTCATCCGGAAGCTCTTTCCACACACTCTACATTGATATGGTTGACTTGGGTCTCAGTTCTACAGCATGGATGCCAGTCTGATTATTTTTTGGTATTTTGACATCCCAGAGGCAGTTCCCGTTTTCATTTCTCTGTGTTTGGCCAGGAAGAACTGAAGTAGTTTTCTGAAGTAGTTCTTCTTAATTTCATATTATTTTATTTTGGTCCCCACTGATTTCCAAAGGTCTCCCTTCTTGCTTGATCATTTGCGATGTCAGCATAATGCAGTCTCTTTCATTCTCATTCTCCTGAGTATCCCTAACTTGGGAGGGACGGACGGACAGACAGACAGAAAGAAAGAAGAAAAGAAAGTCATGAGAAATTCAAAGCAAAAATCCTCTTAATTCTCACTTCTAATTCAATATCACAATTATTAAATGGGACAATTCTATATCACACTCCATCTCTCTCTGTATACTTTGAGGGAACTTGAATTCCCTTTGGATTATAATAGTGCTTCAGACCCCAGAATCTCTCTGCTGCACCATTTCCAACTTTTTGGGAGGACAGAGAAGCGGAGGGTCCTCTGATAAACTGTGAGTGTATTAAGGAACGAGAAAGGGAGGGGAAAACAACTGTAATAAGACTAGGCAAAAGTAGGAAAGCTATACTATAGGAAGTGATTGTGGATCAGTTGAATTTCTATCAGTTTTATATAATAAAGCTCTGTCTTGAAGAGATGCACCAGGGAGGTTCAGTTCGTCCTACTGCCTGGGGAAGCAGCACCTGTTAAATGTCTGCCTGTTAATTCACATGTCTCCCAGAACCATGATCAAGTGGGAAGAACAAACAATTGGGGAATAGGAAGCTCACTTGTGCAAACACAATAAAGACAACATCTTCATAAAATTGCATAGCCCAGAATCTGAGATGCCTAAAATGACATTTTCTTGGATTTGATCCCCAACTGGAAACTGGAATAAATTTAATTTCTGAAAAAAAAATCTCTTATTGATGTGCAATAGTGTTGGGCACCTTCAGTTGACAGTACCTTCAAAAATCTAGAGTTCATACTTAAAACGGCATGTGCCCATCGGGTTTTTTTCCTTCATTGATAAATTCATCAATCTGGGGCTGCCAATTGTGAGGGTCAGACTCAAGGAAACTTTTCTTCCTAATTCAGTATACATTAATAGGAAATGCATAAATTTAACCAACTAAATCCAGAATTTACATGGATTCTCACCCAAATGGATCTCTGTATGGGAAGTTACGTCATTGCTCCTTCTGAAGTTCTTTCCACACTGCACAGATTTATATGGCTTCTCCCCTGTATGGATCTTTTTATGGG